ACACCCCCCCTCACTGTCAGGCTCCACCCCTCCTGCTCAAACACCCCCACTCACTGTCAGGCTCCACCCCTCCCTTTCAGCTTCTCTGCTTCTTTTTCTCCCGCTGAAGTGGAGGGGCTGCCATTTATCATATATCAAGGTTTATCTTGGAGCAGAATGTCTGCAGGGTTGAGAGCCGAAAATCTAATCTTTCTCTACACATTCCAGCCTCAGAAAAGCAGTGGCAAAGCCCCTTGACACTCGGCCCTAAATAACAATGTGGCCTCATTCTAGAAATTACAGTCATTTGGTTTTACAGCCTGAAAATTGCAGATTATTTTAATGAGAGCTGCATGAGTATCAGGGCCCCCGTACACTTTGAGAAACACTCTGTTAACAGGAGGCTTATTCACAACAAATGCTGGCTCCATGGAGCTGACCTCCGGCATTAAATAATTATATACTGTGTAACAGCAAAAATTAACTATAGCTGTCCATGGCTGGGCTGGCCGGCCTCTAAGGGTGGGGCAGTAAAAATGGAATGCTTTATCTTTTGTAAAATCTTGGCCACTGAATGGGTGAACTGCTCTCAGACAATCTTCTTTAGGTCTTTCGCTGGAGTCAATATAGAATAGATTGTATTACTGGAAGCCTTTCAGATAAAATTATCTCACTGTAATGAGCCTGTCTGCACACACTGATAAGGGAACAGATTTCCCTCGAGACCCCAAAGGGTTCCTGTCCCGCGTTTATCCCTGGCTTCTCAACAGCGGCTGCCACTTGCTAATTATGATCATTTTGCTGGTCTGCCCAGTACAGTTATAACACAGTGATTTTCTCCAGCCTGCACATAAGCATCAGAGAGTGGCAACCTTCAGTGCTTTGAATGTGGACCGGAACGTCTCATTTCAGCTGCTCATGTGGGCTTTACGTAGTTGCTTGTAGCCTGCATTTTGATGTACAGTATGTGACTTTCTCTGCACCAATGAGGATATCTCTGCTGGCATCATATAAAGCATGAAAGTTCATGCTCTGTTTCTCCTTCTGAACAGACCAGCAGCAGCCACGCCAATGTGGACGAGGGACACAGTCCGAGCTTCCGCTCCAAAGTCAGAGTTTATTTTAAGGGTGATTGTACAGACGGCTTATCTCAGTGTACAGAGGATCCTGGGTTGTGCCACTATCTGTTTGTCTGTATATTTGCCCTTCCACCGGCAGCGACTGCGGACTTGAAGGCGGTCAGTCTGGCCCCATTCCTTTGCTGAAACCGTTCCAGAGGTGCTCCAGTGAAATAAAAGCGAGAGCCTGCTCTGTTTTTTATGCAGGGGTTTGGACTGTGTCCAGAGCCCAGCTTTGGCAAAATGGGAGTGCAGAGAGAGAAAGAGAGGAGAGATTATACTGTGGATTTGTGCTGAATAACACTGTCACAGGCTGCCCACATGAGCAACCTTAAACAAAGAAATATTAAGAGAAAATGTGCTCTTAACATCTTGAGCCAATCAATGCCCAAGCTGTGGAGTTAGCATTCCCTGGAAGGGTGGTTTCATATGTGATAACTTACCATATCACCATTTGTTTTATGTCTTTGCTGTAAAGCTGTATTGTCTTTTCAAATATTTAGCAAAGCAGAAATTAGCATGTACAACCATCATGACAAGTTGCAACTGACATGAGAAGGAATTGAATGAGGACAAACATTTGACTCTGAGAAATCGGGAGCATTTCTGAGCAAAGCTTAGTAGCTTACAGAACTCTGGCTTCATGTGTCATTTGGAGAACATCACATATGGTCAATAACTGGGCTTTCATGTTAGTTGAGGAGGACAAATGAGAATTTTTGCTATACTGGAGATGATTCTATGGCCACAGAAAGCAGTTTTCTGTTGGGCAATAATGATACGGGGAGCCCACTGTACTTGGATTATAACAGACATATTGGTGATTTTTAGATATATTACTATTGGAGTTATTTGTTCTTAAATAAGAGAAAAATTACACATCTGTGGAGAATAAGCCCAAAGAGCTACAGGGACAGGGCGTCAGCGATGCACATTTAAATAATTTATTGCAAATAA